AAACCAAACTTACCTAAGTAATTTAATTCAAAATGATATAATTGAAGCTATGGCTCAAGAAACGTTACAGTTAATATTGAAAGAAGTAAAGATAGCAAAATATTTTTCTATCATAATTGATTCAACTATTGATATCAGTCGAGATGATCAATTTTCCTTAAGTATACGATTTGTGGATCAAGGTGGAATAATTAGAGAACATTTTTTGTGTTTTGAAGAGTTACCAGGGGCTTCTGCAGATAACTTTTTTGATGATCTTAAAAAATGTTTAAAAAAATTTGATTTAGATTTTTCTATGTGTAGAGGTCAGTCGTATGATGGTGCTAGTACAATGTCTGGCCGTTATTCTGGTCTACAATCAAAAGTCAAAGAATTATCACCCCTTTCTTTGTACATTCATTGCTGTGCCCACAATCTAAATTTAGTTTTAATTGATTCTATCAAATCTTCCATCGATGCAGTTTCCTTCTTTGGTACTTTAGAATCATTGTATACTTTTTTAACTAGCAGTTTGCCTAGATTGCATATTTTGGAAGAAGAACAAAAAAAACAAGTAGAAGGTATTGTTTTGACATTGAAAAAACTTTCAGAGACAAGGTGGGCTAGTCATAAACGTGCTGTAGATGCAGTTTATTTTAGTTTACCTGCAATTGTTAAAACATTAAAGAAAATTAGCAAAGGAGAAATTCCTAATACAAAACAAAAAACTGTTTCTGAAGCTCAGGGTTTACTTTTACATATAATAAATTTTAAATTCAGTTTTTTTTTAATTATGTGGAGAACAATTTTAGACAAAGTATACATATTATCAAATTATTTACAGAACTCTTCAATTAATCTATTAACAGCTCATAGCATGATTCAAGCTTGTTTTACTGATATTGACTCTATGAGAACAATTGAAGTATTCATGGAAGTTAAAGAAAAGGCAATAGTGTTTTGCAATGGATTTGACGGTAGAAAGCAGTTTGATGAACCTAGATATAAAAAAATAAAAACCAATTTTGGTGAAAGTACAGAAGTTCAGTCAATAAGTTCAGTTGATGAGCGATTTAGGATCAATACTTATTTTGTCATTTTAGATGCATTTACCAATGTTTTAAAATATCGCTTTGAAGATTTTTCTAGTATTGTAAGAAAATTTGAAATCCTTGATCCAAAAAAATCTTTTGAAGGTAGACCCAGTAATGAAATTTTAGTTGAACCCCTTATAGAACTTTCTACATTTTATCAAATAGATGTTGAACAAGAAAATCTTATTTTGGAGTACAAGTCGTTTTGTTCTATTTATAACCAATTAATTGCAGAAATAAAAAATAAAAAAGTATTTGACAACAATATGTTAAAATTCATGATAGAAAATGATATGATTTCTTCATATCCAAATTTATCAACATTGTATAAAATATATTATACTCTGCCTATAAGTAGTGCAACTGCAGAAAGGTCATTTAGTAGGTTGAAGCTTATAAAAACATACCTCCGTTCTACAATTGCTGAGGATAGGTTGTCTAACTTGGCGGTTTTAAGCATAGAAAGAAATGTTGCTGAAGATATGGATTACAACAATGTTATTGAAACATTTGCCAAAATGAAGAAAAGAAGAAAAACTTTTTAGATGCTCTGAATTAAAATTTGTAAAAAAACGTATTCTATAGAAGAAAATAAAGGTACCGATTTATTTGTTCAACTGTTATTTCTTTAAAAAAAAAGTGTTACCAGTAGTTAATGCTTTAATATATTATTAATGGTTTTAAAAATTTCATAATTTATTATGAAGGTCTTTAAATAATTACCATTTTAAGGTAGTTAGAATTATAGAAGATGTAGAATTATTTACATTTTAAAATTGATAACCTTTTGTATCATTTATTTATATTGTTTTTCACAAAAAAACATGTATGAGTAGGTATAACATATTTTTTATTTAAAGCACTAAGTAATGATTCGAGTTAAAGAGGTATGAGGACATTTTTGTTTAAATAAATATAACTTGCTTTTAAAAAAGTTGCGTGACCTCTAATAAAGGATGGCCTTTACAAAATGTCTCTGACCCACCGTTTTAAATTCCTAGACACGCCACTGCTTTTTTTGCAGTATGTTTGGGATCATTATCCTGTGTAAACACAAAATCGTCTTTGATACCCATTTTTTCAGCACTAGTATTAAGATGTGTCTTCAAAATATTTAAATAAATATCTTGATTCATAATGCCATCAATAAAGTGCAAGTTTCCGACACCCTGAGCACTCATACAGCCCCAAACCATTATAGAACCTCCTCCGTATTTAACTGTAGGCTGTAAATTCTTTAGTTCCATTTCTGCATTCGCTTTTCTCCATACAAAACGTCTTCCATCCGAGCCAAAAATATTAAATTTAATTTCATCTGTAAATATAACTTTGTTCCAAAAGTTATCAGGGCGATTTAAGTTGTCTCTTGCAAAAACAAGTCTCTTTTGTTAATTTTTTTTATTCACAAAATATTTTCGACGAGCTATCCGACTATGGAAATTATCGTTTTCCAAACAATTTCTAATTGTACTTGCACTGACACAAACTTCAGAAAAATTTTCAAGATCTTGTGCTAATTTAGGAGCGCTAATTTTTGGATCCAGCTTGACTTTCCTTATTATCATACGTTTATCGTGGTCTGAAAATTTTTTTGGCCGACCAGGTCGTTGTTTATTTTCGTGACTTACGCTCACTGAATCGATCTATCACATCTTTTACAGTGCTATGAGATCTGTTGACAATTTTTGATATTTGGCGTAATGATTGGCATTGATTATGCAACCGTAAAATCAGTTCTCGTTCAGTTTTGTTCGTCTCACTTTTTTTTTGACCCATCTTGTAATAGATTATATTTCAACAATATTTTGAAGCGAACTAAACTAGAATAATCATTACTAATAAGATGTCTTTTCATTTTACGTTTATCTTATCGTTTTATAATAACATTATCGCAAATAAACAAGTATTTTTGTAACTTAAAATAGAAGTGTACGAATACTTATTGAGCGTTTGTTTTGATAATTGTAGTTTGGTCTTGTGTTGTTCGATAAGTAAAACTATTGCCATGGTATTTTTTTTTGTGGTATGTTTAAAAATAATAAGGGAATAATATGCGAGTGTTGGTGTATCCAGAAAAATAAAATATCTTGGCTAAAAATGTATGCATATTTATTTAAAAACATAAGGTGTACGAATACTTTTTACACTCACTGTAGATTCTTCCCCCCTTATTATACCTTATAATAATTTTGAGCAATTATTTGTCCGATTCTCTCATAACTCCTTAAATATTATAATTTGCAGTGTTTATATACCACCTTCGTCGCCCATTGAGCTTTATACTACTCATCTAAATACAATTGATTTTATTGTTCAAAACTACCCAAACCATAGTTTTATCACTGGTGATTATAATCTTCCATTTATTTCATGGTCAAATGATGCACATGGCCTATGTTTCCTATCGCAAACAATCTCTGAATATACTGCCATTCCTGAAAGAATCGCCATTCACGGATTCTTCCAACATAACTACATATTAAATTCTCACCACTCTCTTCTCGATCTCATATTCTCTAACCTTAACTCCATAACTGTTAAACATGCTCTTGACCCTGCCGTGCCTGCTGACACGTACCATCCACCTTTCTCACTCTCTATAAATCTCCCCATTCATGCTCCTCAATCTGCTTCCCTCAAATCATTTTATAACTTTAGTGAGGCTGATTACATGCAGATCACTAATTTCTTTAACTATTTCAATTGGAAAAGTACCTTTCGGTCATATTCCCTTGATGATTCCATGTCTGTCTTCCTTGATGCTCTCTATAATTCAATTTTAACTTTTGTTCCTAAAATCTCTTTTCGTCCTTCCACTTTCCCGTTTTGGTACACTAAGGAACTCAAAGAACTAGTGTTTGCTAAGTCTCGCGCTCATGCCAAATTTAAGTCATTCCAGTTATTATCAGATTACAAGCATTTTTCACTTCTTCGCGCTAAATTTAAATTCATCTCCAAACAATGCTACCGCAATTTTGTCTCACGTACCGAATCCTCCCTATTACACAACCCACAATACTTTTGGAGTTTTATTAGAAAAAACCACTCTTCTCAATCTATATCTTCATGTGTTTCACTACATGGTAAACAAAGTACATCTCTTCCCGATACTGCTAACCTTTTTGCTGCATATTTTTCCTCCGTGTTCACCCAGCCTTCACCGACTCCATCCCAAACATTACATCCTATCTGCCTCTTTCCGCTCCCGTCTAATGTCTATTTTTCGATCAGTGACGTCTACAATGCTTTCGTTCCCTTCGCAATATTAAGTCTGTTGGTCCTGATGGTATCCAGAGTGATTTCTTGTACAAACTTCGATCTGTTCTTGCAGAACTGTTATGGTTATTGTTTAGGCGTTCTATTGACTCAGGTATTTTTCCATCCGCACTTAATCTTGGCTCTATTGACCCATACTTAAGTCTGGTAGTTCAACTGATGTTTCAAACTATCGTCCCATAACTATTCTCCCTCATTTTATCCATAATATTTGAATCACTTGTTCTTAATTCGATTCGTTCTCCCTTGAATCATATCCTAATTGATGAGCAGCATGGCTTCCGTCCTGGTAGATCAACTATTACTTGTAACCTTAGTCTACATTCATATATATATGATTCTTTTCGCGATAACTGCCAAGTAAATGTAATCTACACAGATTTCACCAAGGCTTTCGATCATGTTGATCATAATCATCTTATGTTGACTCTAGACTCTATAGGAATCGGCGAACCACTACTTTCCTGGTTTCGCTTATACATTACAAATAGGATCCAATGGGTAACTGTTGATTCCACCTCTTCGGACCGCTTTACCCCCTCCTCAGGTGTTCCACAAGGTGCTGTTCTTTCTCCACTTCTGTTTGCTTTATTCGTAAACTCAGCAGACTCCGTCCTCCAGCATGCCCAACTTCTTATCTTTGCTGATGATATGAAAATCTTTTTCCGTATAAAATCCATCTCTGACTGTCATCTTCTTCAAAACGACCTTCAGCGATTAGTTGCGTGGGGTGAATCTTTGGGGCTAGCTCTTAATATAGCTAAATGTTCAGTAATGACTTTTAGTCGTATTAATGCTGTAATCGAGCATATTTACTCCGTAAACAATACCGCCTTAACAACCTGTAATAACTATGTAAAGGATTTAGGATTTACTTTCACACGGAACCTGTGCCCTAATATGCATATTCAGATTATATGTTGTAAGGCTCTTAAACTGCTAGGTTTCATAAACCGTGTCTCTTCAGACTTCCACTTACTCTCCACTCTAAAAACTCTTTTCTGCTCCCTAGTCCGTCCCATCTTTGAGTATGGTTCCGTCCTCTGGGGCCCGTCCACCGCTTCCGCACGTAGCATGATAGAAAGGGTTCAAAGAAAATTCCTCCGTCAAGCTGCTTACAAACTAAAGATAGTCTGTCCACCTCACGATTACACGCCAATCCAACGCCTCTTTTCCTTAGACAGCTTCTCCGATCGTCGTCATTCAGCAAACTTGACGTTTCTATTCGATCTTCTTTCATCTAAAATTGACAGTCCTGAATCATTATCCCGTGTCTCATTTAATGTCCCCTCTCGCCTTACACAATCATCTGTTCCATTTCATATACCTTTCTCTTCCTCAAACTACTATCTTAACTCACCGATCATCCGTCTTATGTGCATTGCCAACACTGACCCTTCATTCTCTCTCTGATATTAAACCACGTTTCCATAAACTATTAAAACTTATATTATTATACTATTATATTCATTTATTAAAGGGTTCGTCCCGTATTGTAAAATAAAATAAAATAAAATAAATAAAAATAATCATTTGTGAATCTCTAACATGACAGAAGCGTTCTCATTTCGATTACAAATTTGAAAATTGAATACAAGGCTTTACATAAGTTTTATTCATAAGAATTAAAAAAACAATTCGATCTTAATTCCAACAAAAAGTATTATGAGTGTTTGAAGTTTAAATTTTAAATGTTTACGGAATACAGGATATTAAAATGGAAAATAACAAGTTGTAGCTATTTTTTTTAAATTTAATATTAATGTTAAGATTAATTTATTTTAAATGATAATATTATTAATAGAAATATTGTCGCCAGGAGAAACATAAAATTTTTCACCCCCTCACAAAAAAAAAAATTACTTTATCAATATTATACAATTATTTCTTTGTTTTTTTTTTTTACTTTACACTAGACTTGAAATCGGTTGTAATTTTTATTATACAAACAAGAAAAAACAGTCTTTCCATTACAAAGAGGAAAAAATTCTTACTTTTTGATGAGTATTATAGTGAATAATAGTTAATAGGGAAAAATAGAGCACTGTTTATATGGCCTTTGAAATACATAATACAAAGATAATAAAGTCTACATTTATATATATATACGTAAATTATATGTGTCAATATTTCAGTTTATTTAATTATTTTGATCGCAACATTATCATAACAACAAGGTATAATAATTATCATATTATTTATTTAAAAATGTTTAACTAGATTCTTATACTGAAATTGTTTAACCATTTTGTTAAAAATACATTTCGTTAATTCTAGGTCGTAGCAAGGATCGTGGGGGTACATTCCTTCGTGTTGTTTTGAACATATCAATGAATGTGTTTCAACTAGACTTAACATCCGTCCTTGCTTATTATACATTCCTAAACTGTATTGGTATATGATCTTCATATTTATCATGTTAATTAATTGTATATAAAAATGTTGATCATTTGATACATCAAAACATGTCATATTTAATAGATTATAGTTATTAATTTTTAATCTCTTTAAAATAGCCATATCTGTAGAACCGTTCCATAATACGATTATTGTTATTTTTTTGTTATATGCTAGATAACGTTTAATGAATTCAGCATTTAAATTATTTGTTCTGGTGTTTATGCTGTTATGCAATTGCCTTAACACTGCAATTTGTAACTCTTGTTTTAAATACATCTTTATGACTGAAATTGCTTTCCTTATTTCTCGATTACTCAGTTGTCTAACATTCTGATTTACGGGTAGTAAAAGAGGTTTTCCCTCCAATTTAACAGTCTTAGAATGACAAAAGCTATTTGAAATTGCACCGGATATTAAAACAATACTGGTTTTGTAGATATTTGTAAATTCGAAATCCATTAAAATAAATTGGTGAGTTTGTTCTCTGAAATTTAAAGTAAAATGATAAAAATTAAAAGCAAATGTAATATTTTTGATAAAAACAAGATCATTTTACACGTTAAAACCAAACTACAAACAAGGTTCTTCAAACCCAAACTGTTCTTCCAATGTAACTAGAAAGCACGTTATTAAATAAAAAAACTGCCTTCTAAAAAAATTGTGAATATCTTAAGTTTTAGGTGCATATGTAATAATGGTAACTTATTTTTAAGCCATGCATTTTATTTTTTAATTAATAATACGTTTGAGATTTTGAAAGAATGAATACATAAAATTTTAGATATTGTATATTTTTTTTTTTTTTTTTTTTTTGAGAAACATCCTCAATAAGAACAAATTAACAATAAGATAATAAAATCACAAAGAATAATTTTATTATTTCAATTATTGTATTAAAACTCTTTGATAGTCTGTTCATATGATTTTTGACATAATATATCAACTAATACAATAACAATTAAACTAAAGTATAAATCATAGTTTTATTGATTTAGCTTTAGGAAAAAAATATCACAAAAACATTGCTGAAATTTAAAATATACAGGTGTGGCGACCGCCAACTGACAAGTTTTGAGGGGCTGTAAAAAACGAATTGTAAAATTTAGAGAAAAATATATTTTTTTTTTCAATCAAAATTAATAGGAAATCATATGTTTAGAAAATTATATCATTAAAAATGGCGGTTATCAGCATCATTAGTGTTATAGATGATCTCTGAAGTTCACGAATGATTTTTAAAACGTTTTCAATGGTATGGACACGATTTCTTCTGTGATTTTCTCTTTGTCTTTTATAGTTTGGGAGTGATTTCTAAAAACTTAACCCTTAAGGTAGCCACTTTAGATAAGTTTTCAACATCACAACATAACGATTGGAAATTACAGTAATGGTCCTGTTCTTTTGCACAAAGAAGTACGGCCTAATCACCCCAAATTGGGGCATAGCAGTTGTCATGAGTTATTTTTAGTACGGAACATTTATCGAACATTTTGTTTATTTACAGTCCTAGAAAGATGAAAATAGGCCTCATCACCATAGACAAATGTTATAAGAAGGATTTGCTAAGAGATTTTTGCGGTTCCTATAGCTGGTAACACTTAATCCTTTGATAAATATTAATTTATATGGATGGAATAACAAATATTAATAAATAATTCTCTTTAAAAAACAATCTCAGATTTTCAAAGCAACCACGTGCTTGAAGCTTGACACCTAATCTAACCGTTCAAGATGCTTTGTACCCATGTCTACTTACTACTTAGAATATATATAGTTTCTCCTAATTACCGAATCCAAAATTTTATTGTGTTAGCAAAAGAACAAATTCGGCACGTGGAATACTAATCCCTTTGTGTAGCAATTACAGAATGGTTATTTTCGTAATACGCGAGAATGATAAAAATTCGACGTCCGATGTCCAGCCATGATTACGATTAAAAACGGCATAACCGGGGAATTAAAAATAGATCACTTATAAAGGCCTATACTTATCTTATCTTAATGATCCTATTAAACTAGTTAGTCAGCTTTGCCACACTCTGTTGTATAAACAATGATGATAATGAATTAATGACGAATCTTAAAATAATTAAACATGAACTCTGAGGTATGTTTTTGAAAATCTACCAATTATTATTTGTTATTAAAACGTAATAACTAATTATAATAAATATTTAGATAGTGCATTGATTTTAGAGCGTTACGAGACGGGTGTGAATTTAATAGTAATTTAAAAAAATTATTCGTGATCATTTTTTTATACTCCTATCCTGACGATAATGTTAACAAATCAATTCATAGTTGATGATAGTGAATGAAATATAATTTACCAATAAAAAAATGATTGACGTTTGAGCTTTCAGATAGAATATATCAAGTGGATGATAAATTATAATGGTTTAAAATTAATTCGAAGAAAAGATTAAATAATGAACTGAAAATAGAAAAATAAAATAATAAAAAAAAAACCCACGAAGATACCTAAACAACGACAGATTTTCCTAATTGAGCATTTGCAAAAAAAAAATTATTTTAGGAATAAGTAGCTTTAAAAATAGTGATGGTTATGCTATTAAAATCACAGTTAAACTTGATTAAACTGAAAATTATTAACTATTTTTATGATTTTATTGACTACTATTCGTCGATTTTTGAAATTTAACATAGGTAGGCTACTTATATTTTGTATATATTATTCAGACTTACGATTTCTTCATATTGGATGTCTTGTACATATTCTGTTTATAGTAAAAACTCGTTGCTTTAAATATGAAATTGCCGTTTTGTGATTTTAACAATTTGACCTATTAATATATTATATATTATACTGAATTAAATAAATACAATGGTATGTATTTCGGCTATTAAAAACTATCTTGTGTTCGGTAATAGATCGATATCTATCCGAATCACTGTAAAATACAGTTTCTGTTGTGAAACATCAGATTATTTTATAAGACTTTGAATTAATCTAAAGAAATATTTAACTGTAAGATGTTAATAATGGTTTTAAATAAAACTATTATTCGAGTTGCTTAGTAACTTCGCGAAGTTAAGAGCTACAAGCATTTCAATAATTTATTATTATTTATACTTTTGTTTTCACACAACCCTACATTGAATATTAGGATTGTCGGAAAATTGGTACGGTTGTTTTGAACATGGAATATTGGACGATCGTAAAAAACCAGGGTTTCTTAAACTTTAAAAAAAACAATCATAAAGTATCTACACATTAGATAAGTACTGCATTAAATTGTAGGAAAGTATTAATCTAATCTACAACGACAAATAACAATATCGATAACGATGAATAAAGATATTATAGTATAGGTTTCATGCGACCTAGTACAACTGCAACGTTCAACTTATTGCCACGTGTCCACAATTTTTAATTTTAATTTTTGTTATAATGGAAAGTTTTAAAACTGAAAAGGGAAATGAATTAATGCCGTACAAGAATTTTACGTATGCAGTTTTAAGAAATAATAATAATACTATTAGGTAGAAATGTTCACAAAATACACCACCGTTCATCAAATTTTGACCATTGATTTAGAGATGAGAAAAATCTGCGGAAAGACGGTTCCGAAAATTTGATCACAAGTCTAAAAGGACAACAGAAGATACGGTGTCTCGATTTCTTGGAGCAGATTGAAAATGACCATTCTTTTTTTAAACGTGTAATTACTGGAGACGAGTTTTGAATATTCGGGTACAACCTAAGCGCCATAGCTAAGAATGGCACACATTAGCTTTACCGAGGCAAAAAAAAGGAAGAATGAGTAAGTCGAAAATAAAAACGATGCTGATTTGCTTCATTGATAGCCAGGGAATAGTTCACAAGGAGTTTGTACCTCAAGGCCAAATAGTCAACCAACATTTTTATAAAGAAGTTTTTGAAAGACTTCGAAAAAGGGTCATTCGGGTGAGACCAAACACCAAAAACACCTGGGTGCTGCATCATGACGACACTGCACTTGTCACACAACCATTTCAATTAACCAATTTTGGCCACCATAATTAATATTCCTACTTATAATACTTACTTATATAATACTATATTTACTTTATAATATCACCTGACTTGAGTCCTAGTGACTTTTTTATTTTTCCTAGAATAAAAATTCACCTTAAAAGATAACATTTTGGGACACTAGAAAATATTAAAATACCTGTGATTGACCTACTGAAAGCTATTCCAGTAATCGAGTTCCAGAACTGCTATGAACAATGGAAACATCAACTCCAGCGTTGTGTGAATTCTTAGGGAAATTACTTTGAAGGAGATAATGTAAAATAATCACTTTAATTTAATTAAAAAATTATAAAAAATTAATCTCATTACTTTATTTACACATCTCATACATGAACTGAAGCGATCGCTTCATATAATAAAGAGGGTGGGTGGTTTTATTTGTACATGTATTTTTGTTTTTACATTATATAATACCAATACTAAATAATTAATTAATAACTAAAAGATCAGCTGGAAAATAATATGCTAAAATCTTCAGTAGTGAATGGGTGTGTAAATATTTTGATTTTGCTTCATTTAAATTTATGACTCTGCGCCTCTGTCAGGAGGTATATCAATCCAACGTAGGCGGATTGTCCAACCAGGTATCGACATACACCAGGTGATGACTGATGGCTAGACCCTCAATAACTGTTTTCGGAATGTACTTATTTATTTTACATACACAAAAGCATTGAGCAGACGACGAGAATTCGACTTTTATAGACTTAAGTTATGCGTTCAAAACAAGTGTAGAGCCACTAAATAAATGGTACCAACGTCCCAAACATCGTTATCACCGGTTTCGTCACGAGACTTAATAATTGACTATTATACTTTTCTAAACAGGATTTTTTTCAAGTCTTGTCTCTGACCCAGGGTATTCACTAACAGCGAATTTCACTCGACCGCTTCAAAGGCGGCTTCTAAACACTAGAATCGAGTTTCACCACCTCCAAGTTTGTTCATAAATGACTACTTTCAATAACACAAAGATAACATTTATTTTATTATACAAAATATTTGTAAAGATTAAAAAAATTTTAATCGAAATGTCAGAAACAGTGCTTGATAACTAAAAACTATTATACTAGATTCTTTAACAATTTTGAATTTATCTTGGTATATTAATAATGCTTTATAGGTTGGTAAATATTATTTATTTATGCAAGACTTTTTCCTATACTTTAATTGTCTAATTAATATTGTTAGTTATTGGGTATTTGTGTAATATAGGGTAGATATTGAAAATGTTTTTGTTGAATTCGAATGTGTCATTGTGACTTAATTGTAACCAACTTATTTCTCAGTGGTTTATTTTATTTTGTTTGGTCAATGATAAGGTTTATTCTATTAAAAAAAATTTAGATCCGTAATCCGGACCTTGGAAGGTAAATCTCTGAAACCCGTTAACACATTGTATTTGACTAATATATTTCTGTAATAGTATATACAGAAAATAAGTCCTCTAACCTATTTTCTACTGTCTTTTGTGTGATTTCTTCACTCAGTTTCGACGCTAACATTGTTGGGCGAACACAACCCCTACAACGATAAACAAAATAACTAAAATAAAGAAGAATATGTTTGGAGCTCGACGAAATCTAGAAATGGATCGTCCTACTCACAACACCCTTACCTACCTAACGAGAGTAGCGCCTCATAGGATACGGAAAGACCCATGGATCATAGACCCATTCGTACAAGAATGTCTAGCAAAATTGATGGAGTCAGACACAGTAATAGAGTTTGGTGAATACACCAGATCCTTTTACACTTTGGAAGGTCACTATTACAACATTTGTAAATATGACATCCTAATAGTGGAACGACCGATCGACTCAGTCTTACAAACGGCGATAAATAACACCACTGACCACTTTAAACTTGAAACTAAAGTGGACGCTATCTCCTGGCATGACCTAAAGTCAGTGCCATTCATTCCAAGCTCATCCGCAGGATGGGGTTACACTGGAAAGAAAGGAGATCCCGGCAACCATGTACTAGCGATATCGAAAGCGGTATCCTCTTTGTATTGGTGGTTGGAAACTATTAATGGACAGACAGCCCGACCTTTCAGGTACAAACCTAACTTGGCTTGGACACGGACACAGCTTGGAACGTTTGAAGCGCCCAAGATCCGGCACGTCTGGGGAGTAGCGTTTGAGAACGTTATCCTTGAAGGCATGGTCGCCTCCCCGTTAATTCAGGCATACCAGCGCATTGGTTATCCTATGCCCATAGGAGTCAATATGTATAAGCGGTTGCCATCCATAATTCAATGTACGTTAGCAGACGAGAATGAAGTTAGATATGGTGTCGGTCTCGACATCAAGTCTTTCGACACTGCTGTTCAGCCTTGGCTGATACGTACTGCGTTTGACATACTAGCACAGAATGTCAATTTTACTGAACCTGAACAAGTTTCAGCATTCGCATATTCAATACTAAATATTATTATTGTTTTTATTAATAGAAAATATATATTTCGTATAATTTATTAAACTCAGGTCATATATCATAACTAATTGCAAGTATTTTATCGGACGGGTAAATATCGGTTTTATTACGATTTTATCGGCCGGCGACTACGTAGCGAAAATTCAAGTTCAGTAAAAAACGTAAAATTAACAACAAAAATAGGAAGTTTTTAAATGGGCGGACAAAGCTATATTGCTTTGTATTGCCCGGAAAGTTTGGAGTCATTCCAGTCTGCAAAATTTGTAAACCAACTGTCGTTATTTTTAAAAGTGGAAATTTAAAACGGTATTATGAAACTACTTATAAAGGTTTTTATAAAAAATCAGTCTGACGATGACGATATCGAAAATTTATTTGATATGAATGCAGATGTGTTGGAAAATAATGATTTTTTAGAAAACATATTTAATGAAACTGTAAGTATATAATACACTTTATATATTTATCATCATAGTTGATATTATGAACTAATTTTATGTATACAAAATATGTACTATAATAAAAATAAATTATTTATCTAAAAAATAAATAATAAATAATATTAATTATTTATCTAAATAATTTATAATTTATAATTTACTTAAGATTTTGTCGAACGAGCCATTGAAAATTCGTTGCTCGGCAGAGACACGCCGTCGTCGAAAGTGACGGCGCAGTCAGTCGAGACACCACATTTCGATCGAAGAACAATTGCCGTCATATTCGATGACATACTGATGGGCGACGTGGTGGTTGAACATGATGTAGTGTCGGCCAAAGGACCGGAGGTGAGGAATACGTTTGGGGACTTGGTCGGCTGGCTAGAACCGGGTACGACCATGTTAAAACTCATCCCTCGCGGTCGGTGATTGGTCACGGTGTGAAGGAGTATCAGACAGATTTTGCGATGTGCGTGTTGCACCCAAAGCGATTAGAGTTCGCGGGTTCAACTCTCACTCCTTTGACAGAAGACGTAAGGAAGTGGGCAATATGAGAAAGAGCACGGACGGTGCCCGATGGTAAGCCACCCACGTACGTTTTCCGGTCACTCGCGACGGGTTTGTGGGCGTCGAATGCTCGGTCACCAACGCAATCGATCATCTGGCGACTCGCCGAGCGTACGGCTTCTTTGATAGCACGGACCGCCAATCAAAAATATAGTTCATACGACAGAGAACTGTTCGCTGCGTACTTTGGGACTCAACATTTCGTACACGTGATCGAAGAACGAAATACGGACACATAAGATCGACCACA